AAATACGACCCTGGAAATTTTATTACATTTTTTGCAAGCCTTCATGACCCCCAATACTGTACTACCTCAGCTCTAACCAGAATCGGACCTTTTGTCTCGAAAAATTCATCTTCATTGTATTCGTTCCAAATTTATCTAAATTTTTTATTTAGATTTCTTTGTTTATTGAATTATCGTACACTGTAAGTGTCGTTAGACCCTGTGAAATCCATCTAGTTATTTAAACTATTACCACCACGCATTAAAATAAAACATTATTAGAGTTTTATTCTCGTGTCCATAGTTATTTCTAGGCTTCTCGAGTGCTCAAAATTCAAACAAATTTCGATCTATTTTTTTCGGGGTATTCATAGAAATACATCTGACATGCTCTTTCACAGTTGCAGTTACAGATATAATAAATTCCGATATTATGCTGATCTTCAATTTTAACCTTTGCCAAAACGAAAATGTTTTTGAACATTTACTGAAATTTTTTAGAGTAATATTCAGTTGGCATTTTGGTTGTTCATATGCATTTTTAAGAATTAATTTCTCATAGTAAAATTAAAATTGTAATAATGTTTTAATTTTGACGCAACAACTTATTGAGTTATGTATGACCAAGTGATGGTAATAGTTAATAATAATAAATGTCGATGGAATAGAATAGGCTTTGCTTGATTTGCACTCATTTGGTGACATCGCCGTCTGTATTGCGTTTTTACTCCATCTACATACATGTCTGAAATGCTAAAAAGGTATTAGAAGTGGCCAAAACCAGACAAACAAATCATCTGGCGGGGATTTTATAATCCGAGCATATATTTCAAAGGTCAAAAATAACTCGTATCCACAGCAATATTTAATTTTGATCGTAACCACTTTTTAATGTAATTAGGGCGTGATTCTTTAAAAAATCGTAAGTCTAAAACGACTCGTCCGTCAAAAAAAATAAAGATGAAAAAAATCTGTTTTTTTCTTCAATAGAGGTGTCGAAATTCCAAAGCTTCTTGATTGATTGCCCGTATCTTTGCCACGAGTTGACATTGATGTTTGTTAAGTCAGCTAAAATTTTTACTGCTAATCAGAAAAATCAGGATCCAAATTTCATCCGCCTGCATCTAACGTCCTCATAGGTATTTGAAAATGATTCTTTTTTTCGTTTTAACACCTTGTATCTCGAAAATGAGGCGTTCTACGATTCTTTTTCGTATGAAACCTTCTACTCAAAATTATTTATTTCTTTTTTGTTTGGATATTCCTGCACATTGAAAAGGAAGAAAATTTTAATACCTACATAACCCTTTACGTTAAAATGATCAAAGGTTGATTTTATAAATATAGTTCTACCTAACCACAAGAAAAATTAAAGCAATAGTTCCCTATGACACCACAACCACTGTAACACATTTAGACAAGGCGAAAACCTCGCATTCGTGGGAGAAATTTTCCTACTCGATTTTTTTGCATATTCAGATTCGTGAGATGTTCCTTAACATGAGTCAAGATGATGCCGGCCGGAAATCTGGTGCCCATTTGTTTAAACAAACTTTTTTTAAAGAAATTGTAAAAATTTTTTTTCACTCCGGATTTTTTTTTGTATTTTGGCACATTATAAACAAAAAAGTTCCTATGCACTATGCCTCTAAAATTCATAGAATATCCCCCTACAAGATGCTGAAGAGTTTTTGGGACTCTCATTATTTTAAAACCTTGTTTTTTTAATTGTGAATAATGCGCTATGAGCCGCGCGCGCGTCTCTTATACGTGAATTTGCACCATGCACCTAAACCGATGCATTGAAATTACACGTCTTAAGAGCTTCTTTACAAACGTACATATGGAAAAGTTCCAGTTTTCCTCAATATCAATATTTGGATTTCACAGCTTTTGGTTATCAAAATGAAGCAGGTGAATTATTACCTAAATTTATTACCAAAGATCCATTACCCAAAGACTTAGTTAAACAATGTAAATGTACAGAAAAGTGTAAGACTAAAACTTGTTCTTGTAGGAAAAACTATGTCACTTGTGTACCTTTATGGGGTTGCAACATAGAACAGTGTAAGAATTCTTATGATTGAATAAATGTGTGATAATAATAATATGCAGTATTAAATAAATGTTCTTTAATAAAAATCAAATGTATTTGATACTATTGCCCGAGCTATTGCCCTTTTATTTTTTCTGCACTCTATTCGTACAATTTTGTTTAAATAAATGGGTACCAGATTTCCGGCCGGCATCATCTTGATTCATGTTAAGGAACATCTCACGAATCTGAATATGCAAAAAAAATCGAGCCGGAAAATTTCTCCCACGAATGCGAGGTTTTCGCCATGTCTAATTACATAGTTTACGTTTCTAAAACTCAGTTTCTGTATTTCGTATATCTATCTTCCACAGAAATACAAAATATTATATAATATTTGTTCTATTATTGTCGTTGAGAAAATTCAACCAACAAAAATTTAAATTTAAAGAATTGCTTGAAATGCATCTGTCACCGTTTATTAAAATAAAGATGCACTTTCTTTTTATCGTATTACTTTTTTCTGGTTAGTCTAAACTAAATTTATAAAACCGATCCGTTTCGTTCAGTGTTATTTATTAAAATTTTCTTTCTTTTCAGTGTGGCAAAAATACTCAGCCCTGTAATAAATATAAGTAAAATTTGTAAAGAGATGGGAAAAAAATGTTCTATTTTTTTTCGACGTCCGCCTATAGGGAACGTGAGTTGGGTTTAGACCGTCGTGAGACAGGTTAGTTTTACCCTAAACTTCCCGATTAAAACCTGCATCACCTTGTATTATGCATTTAGTTTATATGTACTCCCTTTTTACTTAAATAAATTGATATACTAAGATATGAAAGTCGTTAAATACGTTATTATGTGTAATAATTAATAGCACAAAATTTAATATCCTTAAGAAATTGCAGCTCCATTAAAACGTACGTAATTAATTTTTTTAGTAAACATATTAACAATCTTTTTGTGTGGCAAATATAAATAGCTATAATGATTAAACTAGTTAGGTTAAACTGAATAAAAAGAACTGTACTTAAAGGATGTGGCTATGTAATTGTATCGCAAATATTTACTTTTACAATTAAAAAAAAAGTTTTCAGTAAAAAGGCTATGATTAACCAAATTAATTCTTCATTCGAATTATTATCTTCTTATATGACTAAAACATGATTGAGACAGTCATATAATTTGTATAGAAAATCAATAAAATTTCTAAACAAAGAATTCAGATAAAAGCATTAATACATATTTTAGATATATCGACTGATATTCTTTTCGAATTGAGTAGTTTACTTTAAATAAATATAGCTATATCTAACATATAGATCAAAATGTATAACTTCTTATCAGATGAATCACAATATATGAACATTGTACTTAAATTTATGTTAATATTAAACGAATAACAAAATAACTTAAGTTTTTTTTTTATATGACACCAATGAGAAACAATTAAATCCGTTTTTGGACTATAGCTCTTTGAATTGGAAGATGTAACAAACTAAAATAGATGAATACAAAAATGAATCATTTAATGCTGTGAGTAATGTTAAAATTTTCACCAATGTAGGCTCACAATCAGTGAACAGATAAAGAAAATAGTTGTTTTTAATGGGAATTATTCATACATTTTATGTACTTATAAAGGTGATTAATACATGTTTTGTTTTGTCTTAATGGGGATGGTACATAATTTGAAAACATTTAAATTGCATATTTTGAATTTCAAAGGTGTTTTGACAGGGGTGTTATTTAGGGTTCCAAAGACACAATAATAACTTAAAGAAACAGAATTGCACAAAGCTTTTAAATAAAAATCCTCAGCACTCAGTATTGTCATTAGCATCTTTGCCAAAATTGCGTTTGAAAAGGATCTTTTCAATAATTAAACTATTACTCTTTGATTCAACTTTTTTTTCTGGATAGGAGAAGAATGTCTGCGAACGAAATAATCTACTAGACAGTGTCTAAATCTCATTTATATTCCTTGCATGTAAGTTGAAAATATATAGGGTATTTCCTTTCATGAACTATTGTCATGTATTTTACATTTTTACATTTCAAATACAAATTTTAAATTGGATTGTCTCATGCAGTGCATATCAACAATCACAAATTCATGCAGTCATAAATTTATGTGCAGAAATTGAGTAAATATTCTCGTTTTACTTTTGATTATCAATTGTCGATTGTCTGTAAATTATTATTTGTGTCAGTGAATAATAAACCAATTTATTTCACTTGGTTTTTTTTACCTTTAAATGCTGCATTTGATATAAAATGATTAAAAATGAAAGTGTAACAAATGACGTATTCAATGCGTAGTTTTTAACTCCACAATCAATACTGTTGTACATGCTACATATTACTATCAAGTACTGTACAGATCTAGTTCATGAAAGGACTCTAACTAGTTGTCCAAATATCTAAAGTTCAAAAAAATATGAACTAGAGGAAATTTTCTCAACAAGCATTATAAAAATAAGGCCTCTATGGCCTTGTTGTGAAAGCAAACAAATAACAGGCATTTATGAATTGTTGAATGTTGAAAATGCTGACGATACCTATAAACCTTTTTCTTCGAACCTTGTTGACTGAAACACCTTGAAACGTTATTAGTCTAATAGTGGAACCTAGTATCGAACGAATTAAACTAGGGCACAGTCGGCAATTTAAAAAAATTCTATTCTACTTTCTGCGACACAATTATGTAAACAAATCGACACATCAGCACTAAATATACCTTAAATCAATGATCCATTGTAATAATATGGTACTTATTCTGCACAATGAGCGTTCAGTTGTGGCTTTATATAACCTTAACCTATAGATATTTCAAACATAAACAAGGATTTTGTAAAAATGCGGACCGGTTTTGAGCCGGGTTTCCAAGCACCCAACCGCAGATCGTTTAATTTTTTGATCGGCTCTCCGGACACTGCGAGACTTACTAGAACCAATTGATCTAATTCGTTTACGTATTTTTTACCTTCGTGTACAGTTCCAGCGTCGTCATGCTGCTCACAAAAACCTATCGCCACTTTTTTCAAACATAAATCCTTTTTCACACACGAAGCACTGGTTCGCGAACCCGCAGTGTAACATTTAAGATCGATGCAGGCCGCGATCGCTCACAAACATCTGGCACCTTCACTTGTCCCTTATCTTATCAGATTTTCGTGGCGTTCAGTAGAACGCGAAAAACAGTAGGCCGCGGAAACAAAAGACGACCTGTACGTACACTGCGCACCACGCGTATAGCGCAATCCGCGGAATGTGCCATGTGTGGAAGTATGGATCGAGCGATCTCCGCGCGCTCTGGCGGGCAGGTAAGCTCGCAGTAGTCAAGATGGCCGGGTCAGTTTACTTCTCCTGCTGAGGGAGAGGCAGCGTTGTTTCTGAATGCTGCGTCTGCGAGGCGCTGATGTTGCAGAAGCAGGACTGTTGACTTCTAGTTGCAGGATTTTGGCGTCTGACTTTGTTTCCACTGTGCGAACTAGGTGGCACTAGTAGTTCCAAATAAAGTTTCATATAGCAGGAATGTGTATGTAACAATTTGGTGGTAGGTTCATGAAAAATTACAGTTTGGAATTCTGAAAGATAAATTATCTGTTTTTCTGCCTATATTTTCTGCCTATTTGAAATACAGGATGTCCGCGTTTTTTGTAGCAGGAAATGAGAATTGATTTTTTATTCGTAAAACGAAATTCCCTTTTTAGACTTTGTTGAAACTTGGCAACTTTGTTTGTAATAATAATACTCATTTTCTCACATAATTTAATTTGTCCTATTTTCTCCAGTGGCGTCACAACAAGATACCAGCTTGATAAAAATAGAAAAAAATATGGTACGCCACTGCTTTTTGGTAAGCTTGAAATATTTCTCAGATTTAGCTATCAAAAATATAACTTTTTTGTTATTTACTTTTTTCCTATCTCGCTTTGTTTAGACAGAAATAAAACTTTTTGTTTCACACAGTTTATTGTAAGATAATAAAAAAAANTTGTTACAAAGTGTGCCGTGAATATGTCTGTTTTTGAGTTGCCAAGGATTTTTTGTTGGGACCTTACATCCTGCCCAATAGATTAAGCGGTCAATTATTTCTTGAATTTTTAACTACCCAGCATGATAACATGCTAGACGATGTTCCTTTTCAACAAAGAATAGACTCGTTTTTTCAATTAGATGGATGCCCTTCCCAGTACTCTTTGGTGGTACGAAACTGGCTGAATACAGAGTATCCACAGAGATGGGTGGATCGTGAAGGTCCAGTTGGGAGGGCTCTGCGATCACCTGATCTAACACCTTTGGATTTTTTTGTTTGGGGATTAAGGATGCAGTTTACTCTACGCCTGTTAACTCACAAGAGGAACTTGTACGACGAATCCGGAACGCTATTCTCAGAATAACTCCACATCATTTGAGTGACGTTAGGCGGTCTTTGATACGTCGTTGTAATTTGTGTGTAGAACGAAATGGCGGGCATTTCCAACAGCTCCTTTGAGGTCTATTTATACAAAAAGTTGTTTTCCATACCGTGTTGTTTATTTTTTTATTATCTTACAATAAACTGTGTGAAACAAAAAGTTTTATTTCTGTCTAAACAAAGCGAGATAGGAAAAAAGTAAATAACAAAAAAGTTGTATTTTTGATAGCTAAATCTGAGAAAAACTTCAAACTTACCAAAAAGCAGTGGGGTACCATATTTTTTTCTATTTTTATCAAGCTAGTATCTTGTTGTGACGCCACTGGAGAAAATAGGACAAATTAAATTATGTGAGAAAATGAGTATTATTATTACAAACAAAGTTGCCAAGTTTCAACAAAGTCCAAAAAGGGGTTTTCGTTTTACGAATAAAAAATCAATTCTCATTTTAAACTTGAACACTCTGTAAATCGAAAACGACGCATCTATACATATATGTTTACATTAACTGTTTTTTAAAGGACTTTTAGTACAAGTTGTGAAAGTCCTGCTACAAAAAAACTCGGACACACTGTATATGAAATATCTGAATATATGAATAAAATTTACTTGATAAAAGAATACTGTTCCTGCTCTTTTTGCTTTATGATCAACTCTTGAGATATCTTCAGAAATGCATTAAAATCTTATTATCCTGATAGACGATTTCAATAAATTAATGAAGAAACTGAGACTAACTAGCATTGAAGAGAGAATCGATCAGGATAATTTTTTTAGTTACATTAACCATTTTGAAGTTACAATTATATAAAAAATAATGGTAATAGTATTAATAGAAGTTTATTGTCCAACTGACTAATCCGCGAAAATTATAAAAACAGGGAAATTAGATAAATTATATTGAAGTAAAGGTAATATTAAAATAATGAAGTATCAACTAAAAACAGACAATAATAAACAAAGACAATTAAAATAATACATTTTATGAATTTATTTAATCTTGGAATCAACTCTTTAATTTTACTACCAGTTCTCATAGTTGATTTATCACATTATCTCCACACATCATAAAGTAAACAGGACACATTTTAAATACCTATAGTTGACATACCTTAAAAGTATGCGTTTGGGTAGCGATATCAAGAAGACACAATATAATTGGATCTATATATTTTTTGGAAGTTATAAATGCTGAAAGATGTCGAACCGTTATTTCAGAGTCATTTTGAACACAATTACATGATGGTTAGTTGCAAATAGATTACTTTCAACAAGATAGCACAACCACATGTACTGCAGAAGTAACAATTCAAATTTTGGAAGTTTATGATCGACAGATTAGTCACCGGATCTGACTCCTTTAGATTATATTTTGTTTATATATTTGCAAAATACTATTTTTAAAACAGCAATGCACTACACCGAAGATTTGGAAACGGCAATTATTCAAGAATTTAACAATATAACAGAACGACTGCAAAATTTGTATGAAAATATGCGTATGAGAGTAAATTTGTATATAACTAGTGAAGAACGCCAATTCGAATATAATGTGTAATGTTTTTTTATCGCGAATTTAGCAATATACATCACTAATTTACGAGGGGTAAACCGCTCTCTGAATTCTGTACAAAAACTTCTCTATACTTCCTCAAACTTCCTCGACCTTCTCTAGACTGCTTCGTAGTTCCTCCATAAATGTTTAACATTCTCCGCATTTTTCTATAAAAGATAATACTGCGCATGCGTTTACCGTTCGCACATGCGCAGTTTGGTTCCAACTTCCCGACTTCCTCCAAACTTCCTCCAGACTTCCTCAACTTCCTTGGAATTCCTAAATACTTCCCCGACTTCCTTCGTAATTCCTTTCAACTTCCTCAACCTCCTTATAACTTCCTCCAACTTCTTCCCGACTTCCTGGGGACATGTACAAAATCTTCCCCAGCGGTTTACCCCTCGCTAATTTATGAATTTGTATTTATTTTATATCGCAGTAATGGTAATTTAATAGTTTCAATTGAGGGAGTAGATAATATTTCTCTGATAATAAATAACGAGCGTTTAGCTTTATTGCAAGCAGCAGTTATATGAGCTGACCAAAAGAGGTCGTTAAGACACTAAACTAAGATCAGTTTGCCTGTCCACTCTTGACAATGGAATGCGGCCAATTTGATAATGTAGCCTTGGATTGTTCTTACCCAAGTACAAAACTACACATTTTTTGGAGTTAAGCGATATTAAACATTTTTTGCACCAAACTTGCGTGCAAATGTTGAAAATCAGTAAAAGGATTCCCATAAATCTCTGTATCATCAGAATATATGTAGAGACCATTTAAGTGGTAATATTTGAGGAAAATCTACAATATATTTGAGAAAACGTAAAGGGCCAAGTACAGAGCCTTGAGGAATTCCACTTTTAACAGAATAGTATTCCCAGACATCAGTTCCTATTTTCACAAGAAAATAACGCTTGCTTAAAAACGCAAGAATCCAATTGTGGAGATCAACTCTAATACTTACATGTTCAATTTTAGAATAAAGACGTTTGATGGGCACTTTATCAAAGGCTTTGCTAAAATCTAGGTATATGACGTCAAGACACTGACGACCACTATCAATTGTGATGGTCCAATCGTTTAAACGTCGTAGCATACTGGTCCTCAGGAATAATTTTATGCAACAAAACAAATTCTGTTACAGTTTCAGAAATAATTCTTCCCACTTCACTTTCCCCTGATAAGTTTAAAAGCATTTGAACAAAAAAGTACAATACTAAATTGTATTTATTAAGTTTAATATCAACAGTTTACGTCGCCCAATATCAAAAACAATTTTATTCAATTGCAACTAGCTCCTTCGACCATTGCAAAGAAGCTTAGGGATTTTTAGTTTATTCTAATTAGTACCAACCATGAAATGTTGGTTGCCTATGCTTGACGGTCACGTGATTTGTAATCATTTATGAAGGCTTTGTAGTTAAGTTCAAAAGCATTGATGAATATGAATGGACCATTATAAGAATTAAGAAAGTAAATACCATTTTCAATGAAACGGCTAAGATTATTACAACATTTTATACAATCAATTAAAATTTTAGAAAATAGTAACATTTTCTTATTCAACTACTTCACTAACGTTAACTCTGCATGTGATGCATTTTACCAAGATATTTATAATTTATTTGACCAACATATACCAGTCTTCACTATATTTAAGCGTAAATTTCCAGTTTGGTACACAACCGAAATCATAAACAATATAAAAGTTAAAGGCTATCACCACAATAAATTTAAAACAACTCGTAACAACTTTCACTTAAATGAGTTTAGACGTTTGAGACGCTTAATAAAAAATCAATTACATTTGGCTTACAATAATTATCTTGCCGACTGTCAAGCGAATATTAAACAGTGACCCTAAAAGGTTTTGGTCTTTTGTACAGAATAAGAAAGGCCACACGCGTATACCAAAAAATGTTTTTCTCGATGATCAAGAATTTGATGATCCCGTGCAAATTGTTGACACTTTTTCTAAATTCTTTGCTAGCGTTTTTTCCATCGAAAATGTTCAAAATCCAAATCTGTCATTAAATTATTATCAATCCTGCATTAACATACAACAGCTTACGGAATCTGATGTCCTTCTAGCAATCTGTAAACTAAAAAACAAAATGACGTGTGGTGAGGATCAGATTCCTAGTTTTCTAGTAAAGGATTGCTCGAGGGTTCTATGCACGCCGCTTCTTACGTTATTCAATATTGCTTTATCAACTGGCGAATTTCCTGATAGATGGAAACTTACAAGAGTGTGTC